GAGAGTGGTCCTTCCAGGACTGAAAAGTGGACACATGTAGCTCGTGAACTGTCAACTGCCCTGTTTTCCACCCTGGGAAAAAGCCAGTTTCAGCGAGAGCGAATGCAGCCGAAAGTGGAACTGGGATGAGTCCTGAGTTCACACCCGCAGAGGAGAAGGGGTGGAGCCCTGGAGTGGCCTCCGGGGGGAGCAGAGCTACCGGTTCTTGCCCTTCCAGAGGCCAGCACGGGGTCCCGCCACTCTTGGGCTCCTCCGCACACCCCGAGTCCTCTCTGCTCACAAGGGCTGAGTGGCTTTGGTCACTTGCACTCAGAGAGCCGCTGCCACGCAATCGTTCCCGGGGCAGCTACGAAGGAAACCCCTGTCCTGGAAGCACCTCCTGAGGCCGGGCACCCGCCTGCCTGCCTGCTCCCTGGGTCTCCAGCCCTTCCCCTACCCCCACCGCCTGTTTGTCTCCCGGCTCAACCCGGTAAGCGGATCGCGTCGCTGGTCTGAGTCGCCCACTCCACCACCCTCTCAGCCTCCTATGCATCCCTGTGTCTGCTGGGGCTTGTGCCTCACTGTCCCCAAGCTCGGCTTCCTATCTCTGGTCCTCTCTGCGTGATTCCTGCTTGCTTCCTTCTCCCCTTCTCGCCGGCGGCGACCCTACACCTCTTCCGTAAGCCCCTCCGAACTCCGCTTCCGCTCGCCTTTTCCGCGGAGACCCGGCAACGTTCCGCAGACAGAGGCGCAGCCTGCCGGGCCCGTCAGCACCTCGAGACTAGGGCCAGGCCGCCCCGCCCCGCGTTCCCATTGGCCCTAGGGCACGTGGCCCAGCCCTGACCAATGGGAGAAGCCGAGCACGCGTGACCAGGAAAGCCTGCCCGGCAGTCGCCAAGGCGGGCCGGTGACTCCGGCTAGGCTCTGTGTAAGGGAGACTGGGGACGCCCACACTTCCATTCTCTGCCTCCACCTGGCACCGCTGGCTTTTCCTCCCCCTCCCTGAAGAGAGGCTGTCGGGGATGGAGCTAAGGGCAACCGCTCCCCATCCCAGCCAATCACTAGATGTGTGACCTCCAGCACATTTCTGTTCCTCAGTTTCTCCATCTGTAGTATGAGCCAAATAAGTGCCTCGTAGGGCTGTGGGAGGAGCATGAAATAAGATAATGTGTGGAGGGGCGTGGAACTTGTGGTCAAGGCCCAGGCTTTGGGGTCTGCAGTCACGGAATTACAACCTGACTACTCAACTCACTACTTGAGAGATCTCAGGCTGGCTGCTCCCTCAGTTTCTTCATCTGTAAAATGGAAATAACAGTCCCATCTCATACACATGTAGAAGGTTAAATGAGTTAACGCATATAAGGAACAGAACAGCACCTGGCCCACACCAGGTTCAGTAACTGGTAATGTAACAGCCAAGTTACTACCATCAGTTCTGCTCCACCTTCCTGTCCATCTCCAGGGCCCAGACCTAGGAGTGAAGGTACAGAGCCCAGGGCAAATGCATGATCAGCCTGCTTAGGTAATGCCCAAGTGGTTTCCAAATCAGTTGGACCAATTTACCCGGCCTCAGGAGTGCACAAGTGTTTCCACTACCTCTCATCCTTGCCAGAACCTGGTGGTGCACGACTTCAAAGCTTGTGCCTACCCGATGGCATTGCAGTCTCCAGTACATTACCCTGATCTCTATTTCTATTTCCTTCTCTGCAGAGCATCTGTCTGTGACTGTGCCCCTTCTCCCCAGTCCTTCTTTTTGCTTTTGCCTTAAGAATTAATCAGCATTTTAAAAAGTCATTCTGACTACTATTCCTGTGTTAGATGTGTGTTGCCAGTATCTTCTCCCAGTTGTCTTTGGAAGTTGTGAGCTGTGACACCGAGTGGTCACCAGTAATTGAAGTACTAAAGTGTCAATTATTTTTTTCACAAGATTAAAAAAAAGCTCAAGACTCCAAATGTCACCCTCTTTTTCTAGCACTTCAAAATGCTGGAGAAATGGGATGCCCACACAGGTACAGTACATGTCATGACAGAGGAAGCAATTCCAATCTGTCTAGAGTTTTTGCTTGTGCCCACAGGCATGTACATCATGACAGAAAGGCTGGGCACACTGGGTGACCCAAGGCGTCCACAACCAGTATGTTATCTAGCCTGTCACCCTTGTAGAAAAGTCTCTTTCTAAGCTCACATTCTGGTTAAAACACATTGTCTAGCTGGGTGTGGTAGCTTACACCTGTAATCCTAGCACTTTGGGAGGCAGAGGCAAGAGGACTGCCTGAGCTCAGAGGTTTGAGGACAGCCTGGGCAACTTGGCGAGAACCTATCACTGTAGTAAATTAAAAAACTAGTCGGAAGTGGTGGTATGCACCTGTGGTTCCAGCTACTTGAAAGACTGAGGCAGAAGGATCATCTGAGCCCAGCAGGTTGAGGCTGCAGTAGCCGTGAGCATGTCAATGCACTCTAGCCTGAGCAACAGAGTGAGACTCTAATTCAAAAAACTAAAAAAAAAAAAAAAAAAAAAAAAGCAAAATCACATTGTCTGCTGCTCAGAGGATGGCACCCAAATCCATTAGCCTGGGTTCCATCCTGGCCCCAGTGGCACTTTTCCCTACCCCTTCCCTCCCCACTGACCCCAGCAGTCCCCAGCACCAGGTCCTTCAATGTCAATGCATCCACATGCATGTATTCCTCTGCTGAGAATGCTCTTCCTTTATGTCTCTAGCTGCCAACTCTGACTCTCCCAACGTTAACATCACTGCCTCCATGAAGCCTTCCAGAGGCCCCAGAGCCGCTCCCGCTTCTGTGTGTGCCACTGCTGACAGCCCCAGTCATGCTGTACTCTAAAGAATCAGTCTCTGGCTCCATGACCACGTGTCTCCTCCTCCAACATCTAACCCAACAGGTGCCCATAGAGGGCTTGCTCAACTATGGAGGTGACCCTCTGTGGCTGCCAGAAAATTGACACAACACCACAAGAATCAATTGCAGTGATCAGGCAGTGCTAGAGCCTTCCTAATATAGAAGATAAGTAGGCTGGGCGCAGTGGCTCACATCTGTCATCCCAGCACTTTTTTTTTTTTTTTAAGAGTTGGAGTTTCACTCTGTTGCCCAGACTGGAGTGCAGTGGCATGCTCCTGGACACCGCAGCCTCGACCTGCTGGGCTCTGGCAATCCTTCCGCCTCAGCCTTCCAAGTAGCTGGAACTATAGACTATAGACGTGCGCTACCACACCTGGCTAATTTTTGATGTATTGTAGAGACGAGGTCTCACCAAGTTGCCCAGGCGGGTCTTGAACCCGCAGGCTCAGGCAATTCTCTAGCCTCAGCCTCCCAGAGTGCTGGGATTACAGCCTGAGCCACCGAGCCTGGCCATCCCAGCACTTAAGCAGTAAAGGAAGAAGGGTCAGGAAAAACCGCAGGATTGAAGGAGCAGTTCCCTCAGTCCCTGTCCATGCTGAAGAGGCTCACCTCTGTCTTGGTACTGTCCAGTGGAAGGGTCACTCAAAGCAACCGAGAGACCTGCTTGTGTGAAGAGGTAGAGGTTTATTGAAATATAAACATTCGAGAACAAGTAAGATAGAAGATAACCACAACATATACAGACACTTGCTGCGAAAGACATCTGAGGTATTTATCCACTGCCTAGGCTACCATGTGCTACCATACCTTTCCTGGTTAGAATAATACAAAATGGGGAGGCGGGAGAGAGCTGCCCTGCTGCCTGCCTGCCAGGTGGGCATCAGGACTACAACTACAGGGAAAGCACTGCTTGGGCCAGGGTCCCACTCCAGGAGGACATGCTGGCGCCCCGCACCTTGGGCTTCTGGCCAAGACCCTGCTGTTGTTCTTGAGGGCAGTGGGGGCTCACTCAGAGTGTGAGATCGGGCAAGCTGCCTGGGCAAAAGGGAAGGATTCGATGACCAGAAAGACACAGTGGGCAGTCCCTGCCTCCCTGCGTGGGAAGAGTCCATCCTTCGTGACCAAACCCCTGAGAAAGACACACTGGCCAGATGTCTGAGACATCAAGTGAGTCCAGAGCCAGCCACCTGAGCTCCTCACTGGCACCAGATCCCAGATGCTCTGCTCTGCCTAGACCTCGCAGCTGCCTGGTGGGTAAGGCTTCTGAGGCCAGGAGAGGGCCAGCCTCCATGGATGGGGCTGTGTGTGTGTGTATGAGTGTATGTGTGTGGGGAGCGGGGGGTAGGGAGGGAAAGAAAGCAGCCCGCCAGGCTGAGGTATCTGTTGTGTGCTCAAGCTTCTGATTTCCCTTTCCTTTCCTAGACAGACCTGAATACCAATCACACCGCCAGTAAGCCTCACGTCACGCATGGCGTCTTCCACCGCCACAGCCCAACAACATCACAGTGGTGTTCAACTGAACACTTCGGGCTTACTTGCCAGAGGTGGGCCTTGTACAAGACTCACCTCTTCTCACCAACACAGGAGCAAGCTGCTCCAGCCTGGGGCCAAGGGAACAGACGAAACTCCCTCAGCACCTCCTCGGTCCCCTGGGCAAAGCCCACGGCCTCCATGACTTGCCTGTGACCTGAGCTGGGAATGCTGAGTGAGGGGAGATGGCTTGCCCCCACCCTGGTCAGGGGGTGGGGGCATGGCAGGAAACGGTCAAGGCCCCTCTTCAGGCCCTGAACACAGCTGAGTGGGCCTCCCCTCTCCACCTCCCCACCATTGTGATCCCTGAGTCATCCCCCCCCACCCGCCTCCCCTGCCTCCTCACTGGGGTTCTAGGGAAGGGCCAGAGGAGCTGGGGTACCAAATCACTTGTTTGGCTTTGGGGGTGATCTGTTTTCATTTCTTTGGTGCTACGTTATTATAACAACAATAAAAATTTTAAAATAAAAAACGAAAGTCAGCAAAACAACACATATAAAAAAGATTTCAGAGATGCAAATACTTCCTGAAGAATAGAACATCAATAGTTACAAATCTGAGGTATTTCAATGACCTGACATCGGCACGTTGGGGGATGGTGAGGCTGAGATGGTCCCATAAAAAGAAGGGGGGGAGCAAGGGACACATGGGCTGTTCTTGGGAGAGCTGGCCAACTAGGGCGAGTGGGGAGCATGAGGTTTGGGGGCATCAGAACAGAGTCCATGTGAAATGGAGGCCAGAGCCTGGGCAGCCCTGAGGCTCTGTCTCCCCTTCAACAGACACCTCTGGGCCCTGGGACTGAAGACTGACCTCATGTATTCTTTTTTGGGACCAATAAAAGGGGAATATGGGACCCTGAGGACTGACTCAAGACCTGAATTTAGGGGACCCACACCCCGGGACACAATTGGTAGGCAGGGTGGGCTAGGAGGCCCACACCACACTCAGCGGAAGGGCCATGAAGGCATGCGCTTGGCTCCTAGCAGCCCCACCTGGGACTTAAAAATGGGGGGATTGAGCAGGGGAAAAGACTAGTGACCCAGGGGTCATGGCAGAAGGGCAGGGAAATAAATTAAAGGGGAAGGGATGGAGGGCCTCCAGCCCTGTGACGGCTGGCAGATTGTCGATACACTGTGCCCAGGATGGGAGGGGCCGGGAACCCTGGAGGAAGCTGGACGCCCACAAACCCCCGCCCAGTGCTCCAGCACAATCCCTGATTGGACAACGCTGCCCGTCCTGCCCCTCCAGCCTCTCCCTGCCCCCCGAGTACAGCAGGACCTGAATGGAGCCTGGACAGACGGACACATCCATCTCTCCATGTCTGGCCAGAAGGTGTTCGACGAGAGCTCCGTGAGATGAGGTAAATTCTGTGCATCAACTTCCTCCGCTCTTGGCAGGAGAGTGGGGAGTGGAGGCTGGGTCCTGCCCGTCAGAGGGACCAGCTGGTAGAGGGCTCTGCACTGGGGGTGCCCCGGGATGAGGTAGGACTTGGTGAGCAGTGAGAGCTGCTGCTACTGCTGGCGCTGCTGCCGAGGCTCTGGGGAGCTGAGCCCGCCAGGAGGTGGACCACGGGCTTCTGCGCAAATAGCACACCTAGGTGGGAGCAGAAGCAGTGTAGGCCGAAGGCGTGGAGGGGTTCACTCAGCTCAGCCAGGAGTGCTGCTGCCTTCACCCTGTGAACAGCTCCACGCAGACACTATGGAGGAGCCCCCAGGAGAAATCCCCTAGCTGCCCTGCTCTCAGGTGCTGATGGGCCGGGAAGAGACAGACAGGTCGACAGAGTAATTTCGCTGAAATGTTATAAATGTCCTGAGACAGGTGTACTGAGGGTGTTACTGGAACACAGAGAGGGTTTTGTAGGACAGGGCAGGCTGGTCAGGAAAGACTCCAGAGGAGGATGTCCCTGGGCTGAAGGAAATTCAGTGGCCAAATGAAGAAGGAAACTAGGTGTCAGGCACAAGGAACCTGAGGCCAAGACAAGAGCACAACAGGTGCAGCCAGCTAGGGCCAACACAGGCAGCTTGGACTGACTCAGGGGTGTTGATGGCAAGGCCATGGCAGGCCCTCATGTGCCCCAGACACCTCGCCGGCTGACCCAGACTCCTGCCCCTGGGTGAACAGGTGGACAGTGCTCTGACCCAGGTCTGTGGCCCCATTCATCAAGCTAAGAGTTGACTGGATTTGTTCCCAAGCTCGTCCCTATACCAGTGAAATGGGAGAGAGAAAAGGACAGCCGTTTCCATGAATGCTAAGTCGGCACCTTGGAAAGACTCGGTAAAGGAGCTACACCAGCCAACCAATCAAAAACTGTTGCCATCTCAGGATTAGGGAGAGACAACAGTGAAGAGTGGGGAGAAAATCAAACACGCAGGCGGATTCTGCTGCACCCATTTGTCTTGCCTGGGTCTCCATCATTCGTCCACTTGACCAATGAAAGAACGAGAATTGCTGGGCGCAGTGGCTCAAGCCTGAAATCCCAGCACTTTGGGAGGCCGAGGCTTAGAGGACTGCCTAAGTTCAAGGGTTCAAGACCAGCCTGGGCAACTTGGTGAGACCTCATCTCTACAATAAATCAAAAAATTAGCCAGGCGTGACAGCACACATCTGTAGTTCCAGCTACTTGGAAGGCTGAGGCAGAAGGATCACCTGAGCCCAGCAGGTCGAGGCTGCAGTAGCCTTGAGCATGTCGCTGTACTCTAGCCTAGGTGAGAGAGTGAGACTCCAACTCAAAAAAAGAAAGAATAAGAATGATGAGTCATGTAGCAGGAGCGTGTTTTACAAAAAGGAAAGGAGACCTGTGCCTCGGGAGACCTGGACTCGGTGGACACGGATGGGCTCTCAGTTAATGAACCAACCTCTGTTCTAAGGCTTTCTGTCGCCGTGGAGGAGACCTGTCATCCTGTAATAATCCACAGTCTCTTCCAGCCTGCAAGGACCAGTCTACTTTTGGAGCCCTAAGACTAGGTCAAAGGAAACCCCCGGGAGGGGTCGGATACCAAAGAGACTGGCTGCCATCGCGTGGCCTCACCTGCATAGGTGGTGCCGTCAATGTCCACGGACATGTTGATGCTCCCAATGCTGCTCGTAGTCAGGTTCAGCGCAGCAGCCGAGGCCTCTGCTCTGTCTTCTGCTGGGAACAGGGAGAAGCAGGCCAAGTCAAGATTTCCAAGCACTCTGTTGTCTTCTCTGCTGCCTGGCCACCCCGGCTAAAGCCTCACGCCATGAGAAAGCATCTCCGTGATCTTCTCCTGAGCATGCAGTCTGGCAGGATCCTAGGCTTCCGGCCTCTGTCGATGGCCCTTGCCACTGAGTTTGATCATCCAGTGGCACCACTTTCCAGGTGATCGAGAAACCCTACCTGAGTACCAGCTACATAAAGGCCTAGGAAGTCAGAGACCAAAAAGGCCCAGTCCTTTGAAGACTTAGCCTCCTCTTCCTCTTGGTTATGGGTCCCTCAAGGGGAGAGGTCTACGTCCCCAGCACCTGGCCTCCATGGCCACCTGGGCAGCTGGCGACTGTGGAAGGCTATGGGCACTGGCACACAGGGCCTCGGCCTGCTCACGCCAGACCCTTCCAGCCAAGAACCCTTTCAGGTGAGCTGCCTGTTCTAAGGCACCTGGCTCTGAAAGGGCTGCTCCCACCCAGCTTCCTCTCACTCCTCACCAGGGGAGGGGGGAGGGACTCCTGGGATCTGCACCAGCTCCTCTAACACCTGCTTCTTCCCACACATGCTCTTGTTTGCTCTGAGATGGAGTCAAGGGCACAGATAGCAAAGAGAACTTGAGTGGAGGAATGGGGAGCAGAGGAACACGGGGAAGGATGTGTGGCTCATGAAGGGGAGCACTAGAAATATGTGGAGGGGAGGGCCAATTATGCTGCTGGACTTGCACCTCCTCCTTCCCTCCAATATTCCTGAGGGTCACTGGCAGCCCCGTGTGCTGCCTGCGGCCGCTCAGCCCTCATAGAGACTCAGGAGTGATAAGAGATCTTCCTCCCAGACCTGGCCACAGTGCCCTCTCTTGCTACATCCGGTAAAGTGCCAGGTGAAGGCTGAGCCCTTTAATTTAGACAGATCAAAAGGCTGGAGGGAGAGAGAAACACCTGCTGGCTCTGGAGGTCTTAGGCCCCTCCTCCTTGAATAACTGCTTTTCCTTCTTGCTAAAGAACAGGGCGCTGCCCGAGGCAACTCATGGTGCCCTAGAAAAACACCTCAACCTGGTGAGCTGGGGTGTCAGCAGCCACAGAAACTGCCTCTCCTGGTTTCTAGACCCTTCCGGGGCCCGGAAGGAAGAGCCTGGAGTGTATGCCTCACCACTTGCCTCCCTCCCATCCCCCCAGTCTCAGGAGCCTGGCTCACCCCTGCCATTGATCCTGATCTTCATGGGCAGCTGGCGCGCCATGCTGAAAAAGTTGCGCTGCAAAGCCTGTTGCACCAGGCGCTGCTCCTCCTCTGACAGCCTTGATGCCTTCTTCTCGGGAGGCTCTCCAGACTCTAGCCGCTCCCGCAGCTGCTCCAGTGTGGCCGTCCGGGTCCCGGCCTGCTGACCTGCCAACGTCACGGGCACAGCCAGGCGGTTTGGCACGGGCACTGTTGTCACTGGGACTCCATCACCTGCGAAGGAACTGGAGCTGGACCAGTCTACAATCAACCCTCCCACCCAAAAACCCCAGTCTTGGACGTGGGTTCCCTGCCTCCTTCCTCCCGCAAGGGCCCTGCTGACCTTTCCTGAGAGTGGTTGCTGGGGGTATCCGAGGGCTACTGGTATTGGTGCCACTGCCAGAGCCAAGCCCAAGGATGGGGAAGCGGATCTTGGGTGGGGAGAGAAGGGCAGGAGACCCAGCGGTGGCAGGAGCAGCAGCAGGTGAGTAGCCGAAGAGAGAGGAGCTGTAACTGGGCCGCCGACCCTCCCTCCGGTTGCCGTCGATGGCTGCCTGGAGCTCGGCTGGGGAGCTCAGGGCTTTCTTCTCACACTCGTAGGCATACAGATACTTCATGTACCTGCCGGAAAGGAAAAAGAAAGGAGAATCATCTGGAATGCAGCACCAGCAGCTGCCTGGTTTAGGTGGATGGGTCTCTGCAGTCTCTGCTGGGCAGGCGCCTAGAGCACAGGATAGCAGCCTTGATGGACTTGGCAAGAAAGTCCAGGATTGCCGGACACTCCACCCCAGGCTCCTCTCACTGCAATGCCATCCTAAACACTGCTCCAATGTGAAGCATCGTTCATTAAGGGAAACAACATCTTGGTTAAAGTTTTCACATTTGTTATGGTGCCTTTCTAGTGCACTGGAGAAACGAGGCTCATGTTTTACAGTCTTTCTGGCTCCTTCGTCTCCTCACTATTCAGTCAGGCTGGTCAGCTGAAGCATCTCCTCCAGGTGTACACAGGGCCTGGAGATGTTGTTCTTTGTATCCTATGTCCCAAGAAGCAGTTGGCTACCCAAGAACCTTGCCATTCTGGCAACAGCTCTGTCCCCAACTTCTGCTGGACCAGTTCCAACAGATAAAACCCTTTTACTTTTCAACAAGGCCACAACATGCGGCCCAACTGATATGCTAGCTATTCATTACATATTCTGCACAGAGCAACTTCCAGAGTTTTCCAGAAGACTAGGTTCCCCTCTGGCTCCCATTCTCCAGTGCTACTCTTGGTTTCACTACTTCCATCACCGTTGTAATTAACTCAAATGGTGACAAAAACAGGTTGCCCAGCCAATGGCGCCTGCCTTCCTCTGGGTCCTTTGTTGCTAGGCAAGCTGAATGTCAGAATGTCAGGTAAGAAGGGTCACTTGGGGTGCAGGTGCTGTCTGGAAGACAATGTCCTAGAAAGTGTGGACTTCTGAGACAGAAGTCCAGGTCTCAAGCTCATTACTGGCTGCATTGTCGTGGCCAAATTATATAACCTTGAAGACTTAAGTTTCCATAATCTGAAAAATGGGGACACAACTGCTTTAGAGGGTAGACTGTGAGGCTGAGATGAAACAGAAAGGCAAAGTCCCAGCACACAGGAGACACTTGGTAATGGCGGTTCTTCTTATTACTTGGTCTCGTGAGGGATTCACCTCAGCAAGCACCCCACCGTTTCAGGAATTCTGCTCTGCTCATCTTGCTAATTGCACAATGGCACTTCCTTCCTTCCTTTCCTCTAGGGCAGAACACCCCCTTCTCCAGCCCGGCCTTCCTTCCCACAGCCCTGCCCACTCACTGGGTCCTGAGGGTGAAGGCGGCGCTGGTGATGGACGTGGGGAGGTTCAGGCCCTTGGTGATCTCCCTCCAGATCTTCTTGTTGATGATCTCCACCAGGCCCCCCTTCTCAGTCACCAGCTTGTACAGCATGTACAGGTCCAGGATCTGCTTGGCCATGATGGGGATTCGGTTGATGGGAGTCCCTGTGGATGTCCAACAAGGCAAACAGAGGGCTGGGTCATCATCAAGCTGAGAAAGAAGAATCTGTGTACACCCACCTTAAGTTGAGAATCTTAGGAGTGTAATTTGACTCAAATTCCCCAACCTGAATGCCATCAGACTAGCTGTGAGTTCTTTGGGATGAGCAAAACAGGTCCAACTCACAGGCTGTGGGGCCTTTGGCAAAACACGTTAGCCTCTCTGGTCCTGTTTGCTCATCTGTAAATAAGGCCGAATGAGATGACATCAGAGAAGTTTTTTTTAGTTTTTGCTAACAGTACAATTCCAGACTAGTTCCTAATGAACTGGCAACTTACAGCCTCTGCAGCCTTCAGACTCCAATCAGTGACTGCCTCCCTGGCAAGCCTTTCCCTGGCTCCCTGTCTAGGCTCCCACCCGGGTAGCTAGTTCCCTTGGCTTGTCTCTGGTGCTCCCAGCACAGGCTGCCCCAGTGTGCTCAATGGCATGCGCCTGCTTTCTCCTTTCCTGTGGCAGGACGGAGACATGGTTTCTTTCTCTCCTGCCCCGCCACGTCGGAGTGGCTGCTGGACACACGGGTCTCCAGGGGGAATGAAAAGCCACTCAACCATTCTCTCTCTCCACTAATCACTCCACCCCCTCCCTGGCCTCTCAAAGAGGGAGGGTCAGAGCTGCTTCCGCCCACTGGCCCTGAGGGGAAGTGAGAGAAGCCAGGGACTTGATTAGGAAACCTGGCCCTGAGCAGGAAGGACTACTAATGAGCACCAGGGGACCAGGGAGGCGGGGCCAGCCCTTTCACAGGCTGGGATGCTGGTCAGGAGGCGTGATGGATGACTGTCATGTGGCAGCCGGGATTAATGATCTGGAGGTCAAAGGGGAGAATTCCACAGGGAAGGGTCACCGTCCGGGGCAGGGTATGAGACTTGTTGCCTTTTGAGGAAACTCCTTTTACTGTACACAGGCCCAACCCTGCCAGGGCTCGCGGAGCTGCTGCTGGATGTCAGGCTGGCTCTGGCACAGATGGGCTGTTTGTGCTCCTGCCACTTTCTTCCCCTAAAGGAGGGCAGCCTCACCACCTCTCCTATAAGATGGGCATGTGGCACTGCTGTGGCAGGAGCAGGCCTCTTTTCTAAGTGTGGAAAGGGGGCCGGGCTTGGTGGCTCATCCTGTAATCTCAGCACTTTGGGAGGCCAAGGCAAGTGGACTGCCTCAGCCCACGGGTTCGAGACCCACCCGGGCAACTTGGTGAGACCTCGTCTCTACAATAAATCAAAAAATAGCTGGGCGTGGTAGTGTGTGCCTGTAGTTCCAGCTACTTGGAAGGTTGAGGTGGAAGGATCACCACAGCCCAGCAGGTCGAGGCTGCGGTGGTCGGGAGCATGCTACTGCACTCCAGTCTGAGTGACAGTGAGACTCCAATTCAAAAAAAAAAGTGTGGAAAGGGAGTCACTAATCTCAAAGATCTTTGTCTTGACCAGCTGGTCTTTAGAGAGCCAAGGATGGAGAGGTCCTAGAATTAGATCCACAAATTCACAGATGAACTACCAGAGGATTGCTGGCATTCTCCCAAGGTATAGCCCAGGTGCTGGTGCCCAGCCCTATGCCACTCTGGACAGTAAATCTTCCCCTGCTCAAAGCCTTGTGCAGACCTGGTTGTGGCAGGACAGGTCAACACCCACTTCCGAGACCTGTCTGCCCAGCACTCTCACAGCCTTGAGCCCATGCCTTCCATGGAATCACCTGGAAGGTCTGGGAGAGCCTCTCAAGGTTCCCTAAGCTCACATTTCCAGAAGCTTCCAGAATGTCTTTACATGTGTGACCTGTTTGCTTCCCAGTTGGAATGTTCACGCTGGGCTCACCTTCACCCCCCTGAATGAGTTTCCTTTGCCATCACTTGCATTTCCTCAGCAAAATCATCATTCTGAGGCCAGGCAGAAATTTCAGCATCAGCCCCGGCTCCTCTTCTCTCCTCATCAGCACTTTTAGGCTGTCCGGAGGCTCCACTGACACCTCCTCTAAGGTGCCTCTCAAAGGCATCTTCCTTTTTGGCCTGCAGCCGCCGCCCTGGCCCAGGATCTCATGAGCTTTCAACTAGATGCCTGTAGCAGCCTGTCATCCACTTGCTCATCCTGCACAATGCAGCCAGACAGTGTTATCAAAATACCATGTTTACCATGTTATTCACTTCCTTGTTTAAAAACCTACAGAGGCCAGGCATGGTGGCTCACACACGTAATCCCAGCACTTTCGGAGGCTGAGAGGGCGGACAGCTTGAGCCCAGGAGTTCAAGATCGGCATAGGCAACATAGTGAGACCTCATCTCTACAAGAAAAAAATTAGCCAGGCATGGTGGCATGTGCCTGTAGTCCCAGCTCCTCAGGAGGCTGAGGCAAAAGGATCACCTGAGCCCAGGAGGTCAAGGCTGTAGTGAGCTGTGACTGTGCCACTGTATTTCAGTCTGGGAAACCCTGACTCAATAATGAAATGAAATAAAATCCCACAGAGACTCTTATTGCTTGCCCATCCCATCCCACATGCCCAATTGTGTGACCCATGCTCCCAGCACCCCCTTAGAAGATCACATTTATTTTCCAGCAAGTCCTAACAACTCACTCTCGCCCCATCAGCTGGGCCTTCTGACAATCACCTTCAAACCAAGTTCTTTTCTGCTTGGTTTTTACTTCAGAAACGGTCACCATTCACTTGGAGGCAAGCCATGTGAAGAGGATGCGGACACCAGGCTGCTCACGTGGTTTTTGACTGGAGACAGGTGTGAACATATATCCTGACAGATTTTCCAGTGTGCTTCACACTGCCTCTGAAGGCAACTCCCCAGAGAAGAATTACAGATTCATTCTGAGTAGTCACTGGACTAACTGTCAAGCCGGGTGAGATGGCTTCTCTGAAGGACGACATTGCTTAGATGTAGAAACTTCATAGTCACACAAAGTGACTGAGTTGGACCAAAGCTGCTTAGGGCAAGGGGCACAGTGGTAGATACAGGACCCGAGAAGACAGGAAGGGTCAAAGCAGTATCTGAAGTCAGGCTTACCTAGCCAGTAAGTGGCCTCTTCCCAGCTTCTCCAAAGGGAGACAGACTCTTCTGGGAATGGTCACCCCATGCCACAGAGAAACCACAGGCAGGAGGTGCACTGGAATCCCTGTGGTGGTCCCTGCGGCCCTGTTCTGGGTATACCAGGTTCTTGCTTTTCCCCTCATTCCACAGTGTACTCTCCTCACTTGAACCCCAAGCCCTGGGCAGGCACCCTGGTTCCAGAGATGCTGCTGATGAGGGAATCGGGCACTTTCTCCCCTGTGGCTGGCCCTCTTAAACAGTTAAAGGGGCTCCCAGTGCTGAGGTGATTCCGAGGACTGGCTCGAGATGACGGGGTGGGTTTCTCACATTATCCGGATATTCTGGCCACAAAAGCCTGCCCTGGCTCTGATTCTTCTAACAACTAAGAGAGGCAGAATCCTCAAGTTAGTTTGTCTTGGCATTTTGCTTTGTGTTCAATGGATCTGGTAGCCATGCCCTTGTCCAAAGGAGAGTCCTCTATGAAGAAAGAGAAGGCCTTTTAGCTAAGTTTACCACCTGAATGAGAACCAATGGGAAAATGGGTAGATTGGGTCTCAGTATCCCAATTTGTGAAATGAGAAATCTAGACAGGATACTTTCCATTCTAAAGGCTTATGAGTCTATAAAAAAATTAAAACAAAATTGATAGTTGGAATCATAACCAAAAGGTAGGTGACTTGGTTTTAGGAACCTGCCCAAATTATAGAATAATGCTACCAAGTGACCTTGAAACAGATGGTTTGGGAGCTTCTCTGTGGTTTAAGTTCAGGTTCGTGAAGTTCATGTCCACAAGCAAGGGCTCCTTCCCCCGTCTTTCAGGGAAGGAAGTAGGGGGATCTCTGGCCTGCTCTCTGGGCTGTATCATACTTTCCACTAAGGAGGCTCTTCACCTGAGAGGCAGGCCTTTGTCCACAATGCAACAGCAAGCTGCAATGCACCAGAAGGCAAACACTCACCGAAGAGTTCTTTGTGGGTCACCGGCATTGGCCCCACAGGATCCCAAATCCCTGCCCCCATCCCGCCTCCCAGAGGGGGGTGAGCACCTGATGGAGAAGCCTGTGGATTGTCAGTCACTGCTATCAAAGCAGGAGCCAGGATTGAGGGTAATTAATCATGCTCTCTCTGACAGGAATCCAAGGCCTTATCTGCACCCCAAGAAGTACGGCTGGTCTCCAGTTCCCTCCTCAATAAAGGAGATTGACAGTTGCAACAAAGAGGCCCCTTATCAGATTTCAACCAGGGAGCCTGCAGCCAGGGGACATTAGGATGTGAGAGACTTTTATGAGGGCCATGGACCCAGTGAAGCTGGTGGGACCCCTAGGGCTTTAACCTTTGTTGGTGGGAATGCTGCTAGGAGCCAGAACTAGCATCAGAACTGGGATCAGGAACTTCAGCTCAGATGTGGCAAAATAAAATCTGCTCCTGGCACCCTTTCCCTTTCTACCACTCAGAGGACAGAGATGTAGCTGGGGGGTAGGAGAGTGAGGGCAGAAGAGATGGCCCCTTCTGGTCTGGAGACCAAGATGGGAGACGGCAAGAGTGTTGGAGGGAAAGCCACTTTCTCCCCATCGCAGAGAATGGGCAGGCTCCACTGAAGGCCTGAAGCAGTCAGGAGGGGACCCCAGGCGGACTCACAGGCTGCCTTCCTGCCTACTGCTCAGGGGTAAGGGCCCAGGACCCAGGGCGTGGCCCTGCCAAGGACCCTCGCTGCTTTTTCCTGGCTTTGAAAAAGATCATTAATCATTTCCACAGCCTTACTGTCAAGAGAGATGACCAGGAGCCCTGAAGAGTTCAGAATCACATTAAGCAGGCATGCGCACAGGCAGGTGGGCCTCCTGGCCAGGCCTCACTTGAACCTCAGGTTCACACATTCCCTCTCACCCTGCTCTAGTCCTGCTCCTCAGAAACAGGTAGAGAAATGACTGATTC